GCCCTGCCTGTAACGGTTGTGGTAGACTGACAGTGGCGGTTATACCTGCCCTGTCAGAAGTCAGAGGGCCTGGAGCAACGAAATTCAGTTATAAGGAGCTTATCCTCAAGGAACAAGGTATCTTGAATGATTAGCGCGACCTGCACTCTTAGTTTTCATTCTCTTTCAGCTTCTTGCACACAATACTAACTTAAGCATCGGAGTGTTCCTACCGGGAAACCCCCCAGGAGTTCTTCCTTTTTCCTCTCGTTTCAGGTACCTCTCAAGAGCCACGCGAGCGCCAGCTAGGAGTGACCGGATTGTGCTACATCAGTATCGTAGAAATCGGTAAAGCAGTCATGCAATACAAGTTCAATAACGAAGGTCTCATTGAACTAGAATTGGCGGGGTTCGAGGCAGAGTGGCTAAGGAACTTGCTGGCAGATATACCACTTTGGCCATGGCCGGTTCCGTCCATATCTCTCAATTGTGATAGCCAAGTAGCAATAGCCAAAGTCAAGAACCAAATGTACAACAATAAAAGAAGGCACATCCTCTTAAGGCATAACCTGGTAAGACAATACCTCAGCGAAGGTACAATCACTCTGGATTTGGTAAGGTCTGAAAAGAACCTTACGGATTCATTAACCAAACCACAAACTTCTAAGGTGGTTTATGAGGCATCGGTAAGAATGGGGCTAAAGCCCATTACAAAGCCATTAGTGATGGACACCTAACCTATGTGAAAGGAGATCACTGGAATTAGGTTAAATGGGTAAAAACAAGTCACTAGATGATTTGGGAAAGCACTATCATTTGTGTCCCATTTCATATGCCAAGGTAACATAGTGCTCACTATAGTTTGAGGAGGTTGAGCATGAGGCTCTTAATCAGTTAAGAATGGTGTGTGTAGTGCACGCTAATAACTAACCTAAGTGAGTGTGAAGTGTGGCCGCTTCTAAGAGAGATCTAGGGCTGACTCTCTAAAACACTCATGATTCCAAGAGGGGAACAAAGCTGAAATGTTCCAAAACAAAAGAACCACTAAAGAACTGGTGAGTTGGGTTGGTTGGCTAGTTAGGTAGTTACGACAAAGAGGAAAGGTTGAAGGAGTCTGATTCCACCCATACTTTGTAACATAGCCTATCATACCTAAATGTTGATTGAAGTCCAAAAGACATTACCATGTATACTTTTCTCACTACGATGCTCGAATTGTTCGATCTTCTTGTAATTTTGAATCTTGTGGGGGATTGTTGGAGGGAGATACAAAATTTCAAGAATCTCTCTCCTCCCTCTCTTGTTTTTGTCTTTTCTTCTTCCCACCCTTGAGTGCATGGGAAGACTCATTGTCCCACATTGCTTGGGAAAGGAGTTGAAGTAGAGTATATTTGTAGTTTTGCTCTCTCTATGGGTAGGGACTCATAGGAGGAGAGCACTATAGATATTTCATGCATGCGAGGGGGCGTTGGGGGTGCTTTTCACACGCGTGCCCAAGCCGAGCCGGGCCGGGCCGGGTTGGGGCATGGGCGTGGGCGAGGGCGCAGGTGCATGTACATGTACGTGTACGTGTACGCACAATGCACTGAATCATTTTGGTTTTAACTGGTTTGAACCTTTTTAAAACGTGTCTCTTCGAATTCGAATTTTAAATTTTAAATTAAAACATTTTCTCTTTTCATGTCTCTCCTTCCTCCATGTGCCTCTTCGAACAGGTGCATTGTTCTGAAGAGGCTCCTGTCTGAACGGACACCTATATGTCCATTCGGGTGTGAGAACACTCTATAAGAAGAGTGTTGGCCGACCCAGTACACACACAACATTTTTGACTCTCTCTCTTCTCTATAAATTTGAGCATCAGTCTTCTGTGGTTCGTGGAGGTATGGTAAGCGAGTGCATGCCTACTAGTGGCATGTGGGTTGTTTTATCTTGGCGACCGATTTGCAATCACCCGGATGCACCGTAGGGGGAAAATGTGGTTTTAAGGAGAGTGACCAAGTGGCATGACTCAGCCCTCCTTCTCCCTACAATTTCCAGTTTCAAGATTCTGCAACATTGCACCACTACAAATTCGGTTTGGAAAGAGATAACTGATAAGTTCGATTCTACTTTCTTTATCATTTTTACATGTATTAATGTAAATGAAAATCATTCAGAAGTTTTTTCCTTTTTCCCGTCGCATTTTGTCATGGTATTAGAGCCTTAGCAATGATCAAGGTGACATTGTTTCGCTGCATGCAAAAATTCGACGGTTAAGCTTCATCAGTTGCGATCATATATCTCTAGCATCCAAGATTCATCACCGACACCTTTGGTTGGTTGAGTTTTTTCGGTTACAAACATTGATCTCCGGTGTCCAGGAATCATTGACATAATCTTTGTTTCTTGGTGATCTTCATTACTTTGTTTCTTATCTTTCTTAAACTCCAATGCTCTGTTATCTATTTTCATGGCTGACAATTCGGGTGTAGTTATGATCTCCTGTCCTCTTACAAGTGACAACTATTCAGCATGGCAACGAGAAATGCGTAATGCATTGTGTGCCAAAAATAAATTTGCGTTCGTAGATGGAACTTTGTAACGTCCAGATCTATTTGTAGCTGAAGATCGTATGTGGATTAAATGTAACTCTATAGTGATTTCATGAATTTTTAATTCTTTATCTCGTGAATGGAAGCATTGCCTATGCTGATACTGCTGCGAGATTTGGAAAGATCTTGAAGAAAGATTTTCACAAAATAATGCCCCATGCATCTATCAACTAAAGCGTGATATTTCCCTTCTATACCAAGGAGATTTATTCATTGCTTCATATTTCACCAAGATGAAGAGTTTTTGGGATGAATTAGCTATTCTTAGTCCTTTGTCAAACTACAAATGTGGCTCTGCTAAAGATATGCTACATATTGTGTGAAAGACAAGATTTATCACTTTCCGATGGGCTTAAATGACATATTCAATAGCATACATTCCAACATCCTAGTTTCTGAGCCCCTTCCTACGATGAGTCAAGTATATTCTCTAGTTGTCCAAGAGGAGAAACATCAATTAATGATGTCTTAGAAAATCTTGCCTCTTCCTGATGCTGCTGCTTTCTTTGTTTCTTCAAGATTCAACAATTCTTCTTGATCCAGTGGCAATCCACAACCATGCCCACATTGTGAACATTGCAAATATCAGGGCCATCTTAAAGAACAATGCTATGAATTGATCAGCTATCCCAAAGATTGGGAAAAACAAAAGCCAACTCGTGGGCCGAAGCAGAACACTCAGCAAGCACTCCAAATACTAGCTCTTCATCTGTTGTCATGGCATGCTTTGTAACTGGATCTTCTCCATTAATCGGCCTCACTTTTGATCAATACCAGCAATTGATGCAATTGTTGAACACTAGTTCTACACCCCTGTGTGTCGCCAATACCTCTGGTAAATCACTTCCTCATTCATTGGATACTTGATAGTAGAGCTTCCAACCATATTGTCTCCACCACTAATTTGTTTCTCCACTACATCACTTTAAATCCCACTTTGTTGGTCCACTTGCCCAATAGTTCAAATTTTAAGGCCACACACATAGGTTCTATCCTCTTAAATCGGCATCATATTGTACCTGACATTCTTTATGTGCCTAAGTTCAAATTTAATTTGTTATTCATTGCTAAACTCACCCTCCAATTACATTGTATTGTTGTTTTCCAATGATTCCTACATACTCTAGGACTTTGCCTCAATGACACAGATTGGCAAGGGGGTGCTGTTTAATGGCATTTATTGCTTACAAACTGTATCACCCACAGTAATTATCTCTTTTTCAAATTGATGTTGAATACTTAGCATGGCATAGTCGCCTAGGACATGCTCCAACATGTCAATTGTCTCTCTTATTTGATGGTCACATTATTGCACCAAATAAGGCTTGTGACATATGTGAACGAGCCAAACATACTCGTGCTCCTTTTCCAATAAGCTTGTCTAGAGCATCTGCCCCATTTGAACTAGCCCATTGTGATATATGGGGTGCTTACCACACACCCACACACTTTGGTGCTCGATTTTTTCTAACAATAGTAGATGATTATAGTTGTTGTACTTGGCTATTTCTCATGAAAAATAAATCAAATACCTTTTGTTTCTTCCTATCCTTTTGTAACATGGTAAAGACCCAATTCCATACAATGGTCTATGTTGTTCGGTCTAACAATGGCATGGAATTTTTGTCTAGTCCTATGCAAAAATATTTCATGGACAATGGTATAATACACCAGCACTCTTGTGTTGATTCACCTCAACAGAATGAGATTGTTGAGAGAAAACATCGACAGTTATTGGAAATGACTCATGCCTTAAGATTTCAAGCTTCTCTCCCGTTGACATTTTTGGGAGAATGTGTTTTGACTACAGCCTATTTGATTAATTACTTGTTCTCAATTCCTTTGTGTGGCAAGTCTCCTTATGAACTCCTGTTTGGTGTGCCTCCACATTATGATCATCTCTGCACCTTCAATTGCTTATGCCATGCTCAAGAAAGATCAATCTCCAAGGACAAGTTTACTCCACAAGCATCTCGGTGTATATTTGTTGATTAGCCATTTGGCCAGAAAGGTTATCAAGTTTACAACTTCAATTCCAACAAATTCTTCACATTCCAAGATGTTTCATTTTATGAACATGAATTTCCTTTTGCCATCATACCCCAATTTACACCTTCCAATATAGTTGTTATTTCATTACCACAACATGAGGATCCCTTTGTAGGCTTTATCATTCCTCTTATCACCAATATTGAGCCCACTCCTAATGAGTCCTTACATGTTGATGACAATTCTAATCTAGAGCCCAATGTTGAGCCCATTGTTCCATCAAGACCCCACCATTCCCATTGTCCTCCATCATATCTCCACAATTATGAATATCATTTACCAGGGTTTCACACAGTAGCTACTGCATTGTAACCTATCACTTTGCCACCTGAACCAACTTCATATACACAAGCAGCAAATGATCCTAATTGGTGCAAAGTCATGGAAGTTGAAATTACTACATTAGAACAAAATGATATTTGGACCATTATGGATCTTCTTCCCGGCAAGAAAGCCATACGATCAAAATGGGTCTACAAACTAAAACTACGAGCTAATGGTACCATTAATCGTTACAAGGCCCGCCTAGTAGCCAAGGGGTACACACAAGTTGAGGGACATGACTATCATGATACCTATGCACCTATTGCTAAACAGGTTACTCTTAGGTGCATACTTGCTCTTGGTGTCATCAAATGTTGGGAATTACATCCATTAGATGTCACCAATGCCATCTTACATGGTGACTTGGCTAACAAGATTTACATGAACCTTTCCTCCAAGGATTCTCATGCAAGGTAAAAACAAACTTTGTAAACTTCAAAAAGTCCTTATATGGATTTAACAAGAATCCCGTTATTAGTTTGAGAAGTTTGCTACTGCTCTCAAAGAGTATGGTTTCAAGCAATTTGTGGCTGGCAAATTACTCATTGTTCACATCCACCCAATCGGACTCCTATGTTGTGGTGCTTGTTTTATGTTGATGATAAAGTAATTGTGTGGAAATGATACTGCTCGAATCAATGATATCAAGACCTATCTTCATGGATGTTTTCATCTCAAAGATCTTGGTCATCTTCAGTATTTTCTCGGACTTGAGATCACATGCACCTCTTCTGGGATTTTTGTATGACAACATAAATATGTTGTTGACATCATAACCAAGACAGGAATGGTAGACTACAAAGTTGCTTCACACCCTATGGAAAAACAATGCCAAATTGTTGACACGGACAATCCTCTCTTAGATGATCCCTCACAATACAAGCATCTAGTCGGTTGACTTGTGTATCTGACCATAACTTGACCTGAGCTCACTTATCTTGTCTATATGCTATCTCAATTTTTTGCATGCTCCTCGTGAAGAACATTTACAGGCAGTTCGTCACATTGTGCGATATATAAAGGCCAATACTAGTCAAGGCATTTTTTTCCCAGCCTTTGTTGATTCTTTCCTCAAGGCATATTGTGATTCTGATTGGGCCACTTTTCCTCTCACATGGTGCTCAACCACCAGCTACGTCACTATGCTTGGCTCTTCACTTCTCTCATGGAAGACAAAGAAACAGGTTATAGTTTCTTGTTCTTCTGTTGAAGCTGAATACCGCGCCATGGTGGTGGTTACCAGTGAATTAGTGTGGCTGAAAAACATACTCCAAGATCTTGGTATTATAATTAACTATCAAATCCAACTCTTTTGTGACATTCAAGCGGCTATTCACATTGCCAATAATCCCATATTCCATGAACGAACTAAACATATTTACGTTGATTGCCACTTTGTTGGGTTCAGAACAAAGAAATTCAATTATGTCATCTCTCCACAAAATATTGTAGTCTGCTGATATCCTCACTAAGGCCTTGGGCGCTTACCAGTTTCAGTTCCTTTTACACAAGTGGGGCATTTCACGAGTGCCAACAGGGGGGTATTCGAGAATACTCGAAGAACATTCCAAGAATTTTGAGAATTCCCATGTGGGTTAAGTCGGTGATTATTGTGTATATATGCATATATGTGTATATTCATGTAAATGAAAATCATTCTGAAGTTTTTCTTTTACCCATCCCATTTTTTCAGGTGGTAAAAGACGGGAAGCCCTCTCCTCCTTCGGTTCAGACTGCTCTATCTCTTTCTTCTTCGTTTAATTTTTTAATGTTTAATAGGAAAAGGGTGTTTGACATCCGTTAACATTCTTTGCACTTACGACATTTACACATGATCCATGCTTATATGGAATCCTGCGATTGAATGATCAAGAACTTGTGCGTCCTTGAATCCTGCAATTGAATTCCGAACTCATTCAATCCACGGACAGAGTCGCTCAATGGACTACTGGTAGGGACAGAAAGATGGCCTTCGATTAATGAGTTTCATGAATCATGAATTCATGACCTAAACCAGTAGTCAATGAATTTTTGGAGTGTAGACATTTCAACCCTTTTCCTCCGGACGTTGAAGAGACCCTTCTATTCTTAGATGGTTACCAGATTACAACTTGGATTGGAATTTGAACCATTCCATTATTCAAGTCATAGGCATTGAAGAATCTGAACCTTTCTAGCACAACTACCTAGAGTCCTGGATTCAGGAGACTGGAAACCGGAATCAGGTAATAGGCATTCACAATGACTAACAATGTTCTAACTTGAAAGATAATCAGATAAGTTGCCAAAAAACAAAAAATTTGGCACCCGGAGAACTTATTATACAATTATTGATTTCTTTCCTAAAACAAAAAACTGATCTCAATTGTTTGATATGAAATTATATAATATAGTTATGTACAACGCAATCGGCCCGCAGTCTAGTTTTCATCTACGCCAAGACAAATTTCATGAGGCAGCAAGGACGAAGAAGCTTATAAAAACAAATTTCCCATTCCTGACATTCCATTAAAATGACAGCAACATCGCTAAGCAAATAAAGAACAAGACAACAATTTATCTAAATCCTAGACTAAGAAGTCTGTGTCTGTTAATTCCAGGACCTTGTGGGCACCTATTGGTTTTACACCTGGCCGGAATGCACTTCCTTCAATATACCTGCATCCAAATAGCAGAGTTAAAACCCATGTACCATGTCCGTAAACTGTGGTTTTAGGGCATGTTTGGGAGGGCTTAGATTTATATGTAGCTGCTTCAAAGAAGGCTAACGGGAGAGGATTGTATAAAGAGCTGCGATGACCAAAATTGGCTATCAGCATTCTTTTCACCAAACATTGCTTATAGGCAATGCCAAAAGCCACACAGCATAAAAGCCCTTCCAAACAAGCACTTAAAAAAGTCCAGTTGGCCGGGTTTTAGTTAAAACTTGAAAGGGGAAACTCACATTTCTTTTAAGAAAGGATGTTTATAGAAGGCATCTGGAATCCTCCCTGAAAATTGGTTGTGATCCAAATACCTGAAATTCCATCAAGAAATTATCAAGTCAGAAATTTTAAGAAAATTCCATGCAACGTCTAATAGATAATATGTATAAGTTGCACATTATAATCATATCCACATAAATAGGGATGCTCATTAAAAACCGAAAAACCAAACTGAACCAATGAAACCAAACCAAAAAATCCATTAACCAAACTGACCGGTATATATATAAATATATATAATATATTATAAATATGAAAAATCGAAGAACCGAACCAATCAACCGGTTAACCGATTTTTCGATTTGGTTTTGGTTTGCAGTTTTCCAAAAACCAAAGGAACAGTTCAGTTTGGAAAAAAGAAAGGCCCACAGTTTGGTTAACCAAACCATGAGCACCCCAACACATAAAGATGAGAAGGATTGCTTAAGAGTCTGACACTAAACTCAACCACACTTTCCTTCCACACCTCTCTGCAAATAAGCACTGCATATATTTTTGGTTGTCTACAAAATAAAGTCAAATAGTATGGTTTAACATGAGGGTGCCCAGTGCCCCTGAACTACGACTCCAAAACCCTGTAACCCTGCTCCCATTGTTTATGGGATTACAGTTTGGAAGCACCTCTGCCCTTAAAGCAGTGAACATCAAGTTAGAGAGCAACCATATAATCTGATTGTGTATCAGATTCTTATTGTCATCAACCAAAAGAGTTAACATCACTTCAGTATTTAAATATAATTATGATTAATGAATTATTAGTAGCAATTGAAAACAAAGTAGCAGCGAAATATGCATGCAAAAACTATAGCTTATTATAACCAAGAAACCAAGAATATTTTTTACATGACACGGACACAACATATGAATCCCACAGCAGGTAGAATAATGGAGGATGGGCACACCATTCAAACTCTACCCAGATAGTGAAATATATGCATTAATTGATCATTATTAGTAACAATAATAGCTAGGTATGTAAATGGGTCAGATTGGATCAAAGTCTGCCTATATTTGAATCCAATCCTAACAATGTCCGTATTCAAATTGGATCCAGATTTTGATTAGATTCAGATTGGAGTCAAGTATTATATATCATTAATAAGTTAAACTAAAATTTGGCCAAAATATTACATTTTATTCATAAAATGAATTACACATGACTTAGATATTATATACTATTAATACAATGATTTAAAAATAACTTCAAAGACATTTGAACTTGTAAGGCTTCAAAAAAAATATGATATTTAAGCCAATTTTACATAACTTTATATAGGCATATGCATATACGTACTAAATTACTAACATTGTCAGACTTGGATTTTAGTGATTGGGGTAGTACTATTAATACAATGATTTAAAAATAACTTCAATGACATTTGAACTTGTAAGGCTTCAAAAAAAATATGATATTTAAGCCAATTTTACATAACTTTATATAGGCATATGCATATACGTACTAAATTACTAACATTGTCAGACTTGGATTTTAGTGATTGGGGTAGATCCAGATCAAGTAGATCTGATTTTTTGGCATACAAATCTAGTTCAATCAAATCCAATTTAAAATTAGGTCTCAAATAATCAGGTATTAGTTGACAACCCTAACAATGGCTAAAAATAACATGCAGTCAAGACACCATACTGGAAAGAAGGTTTTCATCAGTGCAATAGGTTTTAAGCAGCCAATACCCGTCTATGCCCATTATGTACAAGATGGTTTAGACACAGAAGTCAATAGATTGTATACTAATATTCTAATTTGCAGTCCCTTCTATGGATCAGTTGCCCCTTCATTCTTCTTTCCTTTCTTTTCATGGCTGACCATCCAGAAGTTTGGACAGTCGGGGTATGTCTTGATCAGGAAATTACAAGAAACCCCTTACAAGAGGGTGTATTAGAAGCAGCTAAGAAATGTAGAGCATTGGTAGGTGAGGGTGCATTAGAAGTGGCTAAGAAACGTAAAGCATTGTCAGGCAAGATCCTCCCACCTTGATGTATCCATACTCAAACAAGACACTGAGCCTGAAAGTGTAAGTAGATTAAGATACAGAGAAAAAGACTTACAAGTAAGTTAATCGAGGAATATGGGCAACTCCTGAAGGAATTGTTCCAGACATCTTATTGTAAGATAGATACCTATTATCAAAACAGTAATTAGCTTTCTAATCTTAGCATAGCTAGAAAATCAATGAAATATAGCTATGAAAGGCACACCAAGTAGATATATGAGTTAGTATACTTACAAAATTTCCAAGTTAGTCAAGTTTGCAAGTTGTGCTGGTATTCCTCCAGTCAAAAAGTTGTTATTTATGTACCTAGAATACAGAATTAAAATTCTCAGATGTCAATTCAATAAGAGTCAATACTATGAAAGGAAAAGATGACAAGCCTATCACAAGGAATGAACATACAGATTACGCAAAGCAGGAAAACTTCCTTCAAAACGAATGAGCTCCCTTATGGTGCCCACCAAATGATTATTACCAACATCCCTGCAATTCAAAGGTATATCATGAACTAGCATCTGCTGAACTAGTAACAGATACAACAAAAAGAGGGATAGTTAATAGATAGAAAATTGGACCATTCAGGTAAACTTAGCAAAAGGACAGTGAATTATTACAAGTGCCGAAGATTTTGCAGTGTGCCCAACTCTGGCGGGATTCTCCCTGTAAAATGATTTTCATGAAGATAGAGATAACGAAGCTCAGGCAGATTTGCAAGCTCCTTAGGTATTTCCCCTTTGAAACTATTGAAGCTCAGGTGCCTGCCCAAATTTTATTTAAATAATCATTAAAATAGTAAATGGATTATATAAGAATGAGTGGCTTTGTTAAAACATCCTAACATGAACTGAGATTACTTACAGATGTGTCAGTTTCTTTAGTTCACCAATTTCAGGAGGAATGACATCTTGTAGCTTATTCCACCTTAAATTACTGAAAATGACCACAAGAAAACCATAAACACAAGTAGTTAAAGATGAACAAAACAAAAATAAGAAAAATATCAACAGCTTCAGAAAAAAAACAAAAAAAACAAAAAACTCCCAAAAGACCAGAGTTAAATTGTTGGCAGCAAACATTAGAGGCTTATGAAGATATGAAATGATGCATCTAGACAATTATGGTATTGCAAAATGAGAACTTGAGGTGTGCATGGAATAATGCAAAAAACTATGAACATAAAGCAACATGTCCTTGCTGTCATCTAGAAAATCCAATGTATATTAGATATCACAAGGGAAAACTGAGCTTGTGGATTGTATCAAGTTCAATGAGTTCTTAACCCATTGGCCTACTTATCATCAGTTACTTGTCAGGTCAAGTTCTCACATTCTAAAATTACATTTCTAAGCAGACAAGCAGTGAACATTTAAGAAAGAGTACCAGATTGACTCCGTCATATGGATTACATTAATAATTATCTTAAAACCCGCGTTGCATGGACACCCCCACCTTTGAAGGGGACTAGCGAGTCGACACATGACCATGAGTCAACTTGTGTCTAATTCTCCAAAATACATGTAGAACTCACTACAATGCAAATCAGGTAGATTTACCAAAATGCCCACCATCTTCAAATTATGAATCATCCCTTTAAATGCCTCCATTAATAGTGGTCCAACCATTTAAGTTGTCTAATAGGGCACTCTGGTATGTGTACTATCCAATTTACACATAATTTATGATCCATTGCTTATTGAATCTTTTCCGATTAACACCAAAATTAGGAAAACGATAAAAAAACAACTACTGTGGTCATGTGGCAAATAGGCAGGGGCTATGAGTTTAACTTGTCAGTTGTAAAAGTAATTCAACTATTTAAATTATTCTGATTATATAGTTCTATGAATATTAGAAATAATATTCAAAATATAATATTTAATATATAATAAAAGATTATTTATGTGAGATGTGTCCAAAATTCCTACTTTTTTGGGTTCACCAAATCAGACTTCTGGAAATCGATTCTAACTCCTGTGTCCAAGTCCATGCAACACTGCTTAAAGCTAGCAAGATATTTTTCATTTCGTTCAGATAAAGCAAGGTAATGTTAATATAAGGAAAGAACACCACCCAAAGCCATATAAAGCCCCAGAAAACCATGGCTGTTAAGCTAGTGCACCATTTTGAACATCTTAGAACCTACTTCAAATTTCCATCAATGAGATAAAAACAAGGAGTTGTATCAAGCATATCAGGATTCTTGGGAAGGGTAGTTTTTTGGTTTTTCATGCTGGGTTGGTCTTCCTTTTACTTTATTGAGGGTAACTTCTTATCATCTTCCTCTGTAATTTTATTTTCTTATTGAATGAATTTTATTTTTTATTTATCTTCAAATAAAAAGCCCACAATGTATAAATTTTATGCCATCATCATGAACACAAAGTGACACCGAAGAACTTGTTCTACCATCAAAATAAATCAATAATAAAAAAGAAAAGAAACATAAAACTCAAACAGTTTGGTCAATATAATTATTTCTAATGAATGAAGATGGCAAAGAGGGCAGAAATTTACAGAATTCTAAGATTTTTCAGACGTCCAATTTGAGGAGGGATTGGCCCAGTCAACTTGTTATTATGGAGATCCCTGTCATTTAAACATAATCAACAGGTCAAGCAACTTTTGAAGAAAAACCAGTTTGAATGGACAAAAACAGCATTATATTTCTTGATTGCACTTCTATAAGTTTTTTCCTTACAGATGAATTCCATGATATGATTTTCCTCAACATAAGTACACTTCCAGTTGGGAGAGGATAAAAGCTAAAAGAGTATATTTTCAAGAAATAGATGTTATGTTGTCATAGTAACCACTTAAGAAGCAGTTAGAAAATATCTCTCCAGCAATGTTAAAACTCTTTCTGATCATATAATCTTTTAATTGTTGATTCTCTTCATATTATAAGCACTTTTCACAAAAAAGTTCTTGCTGCTTGCAATTAACAGGAAAACCAAATACATGGATATTCATGTGGGAGGAAACCAAATACTAAAACATTTGCAGAGATCATCAGAATAAGAACAGCATAACATCCTAAATCATGTGCAGAATCAATTATTGTAGTTGTAGAACATTCCAAACAATCAGAAGGCAAAGATAACACAAGCAGGCACCACTAAGCACATGAAAGGATTTGGAATCAACCACCAGAAGACCAATGAGATGAAGGGCACTTACAGCCTTGTCAGTTCCAACAGATTGGTTACAGCAGTGGGAAAAGGCCCAACAATTGAGACTGCATACACTTCACTGCAATGGAAGAACATTCATAGTAAAGATCAGAAGCCAAATATCCACACTCAGAACTCTAATATCTAATACCACTCAAAACTTAGAACTTTTTTGCCAGCTAATTATTCCCTTGCATACTGATCGCTGATTCAAAACAATATCGGTCATGTAATATAATATTTCCAACCCTGCTATGCTTCCTTAAATTTATAAATTAATCATTTTGCTTGAAAATGTAAAAGAGTGAGCAAGATAACTAGATGAGAAAAGGGTGTCTTATTGGAGTAAAGAACCTCCCAGAAAAGGGAACTAACGGGCATAAAGAAACCAATTACAAAATAGTCCTACATCCCCCAGAAACATGCATGTAATTGGGAACATTGATAATGTAAAAGAGTTCCACTTACAGTTCTGTTACAACCCTATAGCCACCCTGTGTCGAACATGTGATCCCGGACCAAGGTGGTAGGTCACCATCTCCACAAGGGTCGTCTCCTATCCACGCGTAGACTACTCTCCACCCAAGAGATGACTTGATTTCATTCAAGGCTTTCACTGCAACCGGAGTATCATTTTCAACTCAATTATAATTTACAACAAAGCTCTTTGAAGATAATAAAAACCACTGCAGCTTTCATTTAAATGTTAATGAACAAATCCACCAAAAAGATACTCTACTTAACCAGGCTCAATTGTAGTTAACAAGCAGAAGAGAACTCAATTGAGATTCAACCCCGACGACCAAACACACACAATTCTAAGTTTCAACTTAAGAATCAGTTAAGAACAAAACCATAAGAAAACTGTACGCAACATAGTAATCCTTAATCTTCAAATCTAGTTCCTAGTTGAAAAATCTCACATGCCATAAACAAATCCTAGAAATCTAAGTTTCCATCTTCAACTTCCAGTACAAAAAAAAAAGGACAGAATAAAATCCTTAGATATCACGACTACTGAAGGATACAATTACAGAAAAAATAAGGAAAAAAAAAAAAAATTTAACCACCGTTTCTTAAAGTTCGATCTTCGACTCGACAGTCAAATGCACCATTATAACCGGAGAACTATCCTAATTGACAGCTTAGCCCAACGAAATTAAGGTAGAAGGATCTGAATATACCGTCTCTCTTTAGGGTTTTGCAGTGAATGACGCTAAGTAACAAGGAAAGAAAGCATAGTAAAGTAAATGCCGATGGAGACGCCATTCTGGGATCTCTGAGCAGAAAAACCAAAACAGGGAGCAGATCAAACAAATTATTTGCCGATTTCGAGATCCAAAAAGCACATTGCGGATCTGCTAAATCTCTTCTGTTCTACGCTAATTTTCCCTCGTTGCTTCTCAGTTCTCACTCTCTACAACAAAAACATAATTGTTTAAACCTTGAAAAAAATAAACAGCCGAGAAGAAAGAAAAACTGAACTTTTCTGTGTTTTCAACCTCTCAGCGAAAATACTCTGACAGAATTACCCGCAGTTTTGAGGAGAACCGTGCACGGGACGGGAGTTGTTCACCTGTTTGAACTGATACTTGGAGGAACCGTCCAACCTAGGTGTAATTTACACGGGGCAAGTGTGGTAAGTTGGGCGCCCACCTCTTCATGGTCCTACCAAGATGTCCTCCTAATCAATGTACCAAATGAAAAGATGAAACAGAAGATACTCAAAGTCAAAACAATAAGGCTACAAGAAAGAGCGACACCAGCAAATATTTCAGCGACCCGGATGTGCTGTGGGGCATTGTGGGTGTTGCCCCACAACACATCCCGACCTTGTATTGGGAATATCTCCCAATGATAAGTGATGAGACATTAATGGAAGATATTCCTAATACAAGGTCGGGATGTAGAGAATTGTGGGGCGCAGATGTGAACTCGACTCCATTCCCATTTCCAGATCTCCGCTACAAGCCTTTATAAAGGCTACAAGCAGCCAGATACTTTACCATCTATATAAGCTGACCGATTTAGGACGGCTTTCGACAATGGCTTCTTGGGCTGGTCAGTTGAAAATTTAAGCTATATTTGCTAAAAAATTAGAGCCGACTTTCTGATGAAATTCTTAAACTAGCTTTTGCAGAGCAGCTCAGTTACATAGACTTACATGAGGTGGCTTCTGTGAAGCTAGATTTAGTAGCTTGTGGCTTCTGTGAAGCTTATATTTAGTAGCTTCTTTAAAGGGAATCAATGTTGCAAGCCTGCAACCCGATATGTGCCGGCCCCATATCCCTAGGCCATGCTAGGTTTGGGTTATGAGGCCCACAGCTACAGTCCACACAGGACTGGTGTGATGTACAGACTTTGTTAGGAATGGCAATAGGGCTGATTCGGGGCGGGGGATCATATTTTCTGTCTCCGACCCCGATTCTGAAATTAATCCTATTCTCATTTTCAATATTTGTTGGGGATAAAATTTGTCCTCCATTCCCGATCCTCAATGGAGATGGGTTTCCACGTAGGAATGGCAATAGGGGAGGGCGGGGACGGGGAGTCTCTCCCCATCCTCGTCCCCACGAAAATTCCCATCCCCGTCCCTACTAACAGGGATCCCCATTCTCCATAATTTTTTATAATGTCAACCATTTTATTTCTGTTTTCAATTTTATTTAAAAAATTAAAAACAAAATAATTAAATTTATAATCCTATTAGAAAATATTCAACCATATTTTTAAAAATATTAATATATAGATGTATGTGTGGATATATACATATATATTAGTAGGGATCCCATGGGGGTGGGGATTGGGGTCCCCGTAGGGCTGGGAGTGCTCTCCCCGTCCCCACTAACAGGATGAAATTTTCTCCATCCTCGTCCCCATGGGGAGAAAAATCATCCCCATCCCCGCCCCATTTGGGGGGATCCCCACGGGGATCGGGGAAATGGGAAAAATTGTCATATCTATTCCCATGAAACCCAAATCCCCAAAATTTTTTTAGATAACAATATTTTTTGAAAAATAAATAAAAACCTAAATTATAAATAATGTTTTAATATATAAAAATAATATAATAATATACAATATAAATAACATTTAATATATATATATATATATTTATAATTGGGATCGAGGTGGGGTGGGGACCTCAATCCACATCCTATCGTGGATCGGAAAAATTGCCATCCCTATACTTTGTTAAGCAATACTGACGAAAGGAGTCTTATGACATTTATCCATGGATTTTGTTAAATGAAACTGAATCAAAATGAACCCTATGACACTCATGATTGAATTAAGCCTATGTAAATCAAACTTTTTGGGGTTTTGAATGTCGTGCAATGCATGGAAACTCTACTATCAACTGTTATGATGGAAGGAAAGAAGAAATAATTGAAAAAATCCTAGTTAATTTAAACCAACAACTGAGAAAAATCCAAAATAAATATATTAGCAACTTATTATTAATTAACTAAATAAGCATATGAATGATCTACTTAAGTTACTTAAATAGGTCAAATTAGAGGGGAGGTTGGTCAAGCTACAGGGATGGCTTATATAAATTAGATTGTCTTCATTTATATCAAAGTTTTGTTTAGAAAATTTTTTAGTTAATTACTACTAATTAGGAACAGCAATAGAACAGGTTTCAGTGGAAACCATATTCTCCCCATCCTTGTCCCCGACCCTTATCGAGGAGAAAAATGAATTTCCATCAACAATCTTCAATGGATGGAGAATGATTTTCCATCAAGGGGTTCAAATCCTCATTTTTTTTTTAATTAAAAGCTTGTTTTAGGGTAAAAGATTTACTTACAAGAAAGAAAAAAAAGCATTAATACAAATTGATTTAGCACTTAACTAACACAAAAGTAACCAACATGACATGAAAAATTGATATTTATCCAATATTTGTAATGGCATGTCGTCATTACGTAGAACTGTTTTCAAAATTTGATATTCCAAGGTTGGGATGGGGTGGGGACTTCACTCCCCATCTCAGATCAAGTCATCCCGATTAACAATTTTTTATTAATTTGTATTTTTTGTTAATTTTAAATGACTTTACATTTAATTATAAAATAAACAATTGTTGTTTTATTAATAAAATTTAAAAATTAATTTTAGAACTTAAAAAAATTAAATTTGATCAAATTTAAGTGGGTTTTAAATTATTGATATTTAATTATAAATTAACAATTGTAAATGGATTTAACAAATTTAATATACATTAATAATTAAATTTGATAGTTACAAATAATTATAAAATAACTATTAATAATTTATAATATTTAATTATAAATTAAATTTTATAAAGTTATTAATTATTGTTTTATTTTTAAATGGACTTAAAAATAATTATAAAATTAATAATTGCTGTTTTATTAATAAAATTTAGAAATAATTATAAGGCAATTAGATAACTAACCGATCTAGTTTAAGTAATTTATGCTAACTTTATTAGTTTGTTCAAATCTAATTTAAATAATTGACAATCTAAGATAATTAATTAATTAACTTATGGGATTTACTTATTAATCTAACTTTATTAAATTTATTATAAATTAGTACAATATCTAAGTAATTTAATTAATTTACGTTAACTCGATAGTTGGTTGACAATATAAGTTAAGTGAAATTGTTTTAAACGAAATCTAATTTAAGTTATTGGGTTGTGGGTTTTTGGGCTAACCCTCGTCATTAAATTTTGGGCCCAACAAACAAATTTGAGTTATTGGGTTGAGCCTCGTCAATCGTCATTAAATTATTGAGCCCAACAAACAAATGGAAGTTATTGGGTTGACCGGTTGAAGGAGAACATGGTCAATGAACTCGGACTCTGTTCAAAAACAGTGAGAAACAGGGGATTTAATGTTGAATGAGAACACATTCTTTGAGTATAGAAAAGATGATGCAGGTAATGAAGTTCTCAAAACAGGAGCATCAAGCAGTGAGTTTAGGGAAGAAAAGAAAGTCGGATTTAGGGAAAAAAAAAAAGAGGGAGGAAAATTTTGTAAGCATTATGGCAAGGTTCCAAAGGAAGTAGTATTCTTATTGTTTGTTTTTAGATGTATTTGATTATTAATATGCTAAGCTTGTAATGTTCTTACAAGATGCAGCTATCGCCAATTTAGGGCTTTAATTGGATCAGGTTCAACTACATCCAATGGTCCAATCCCAATCAGACCTCTATTCCCATAAATCAAATGGAGCCTTAGATTAAATTCAAACCCGACCTATTTTAAATTCCAGTTTATTGAAATGGTCCATTTTGATTTTAAATTATTTGATTGAGCGGAATTAGAATTACATTTTCATTCCTGCTTGAACCAAATAAACAATAGGAATAGACCATTCTGATTCTGATTCTGATTCTGATTCTAATGAATATACCCATTTCAATTTGAAGTTCAATTATGACTATAAATCAAATGGACCCTAAATTTACTTTGTCGTCATTATAATAAATTAATAAATTAATCTTAAAATGTTTTAAAATTTTAATAACTTTAAACGTATACAAGACTTAGACGATGTGGATCTAATCTATTTTATATATTTATTATATACATAACAAAGTACATAAATTACTTTTACTTTCGTATTTTTGCTATGAAAAATAGTTTAGGTAAAAAAATTATAAAGTATGTTTTACAAAACAGAAGCACCACTTCCCGTTTGGTAAAAGCATACTAAGAGTCATGTGATTCAGCTGATCTTACATGTGACTGGTTTTGAGCAACAGTGAACAATGTGATTCCGATGAAGAAGTAGCAGTGTCACCAACATATTGTGCTTCCGATGGGTTTGGTGGTCGAAGATAGACGACGACAGAAGGTCTACGGCTTGAAAACAACGGGCAAATGGGGAATCTTCGATCGAGGGGTTTTATCAAAAGGGTGGTTACACGTGACCACCATTCGCACGAAATGGAAACACAACTTCACCAAAAGCACGAAATAACGAAAGCAGAATTCATGCTTTTGGGGGTTTTCTATTTTTTAAAAATATATGAAAGTAGTAAGTATATATAGTGATTTTCGTACTTTCATATTTTTAAAAGTATAAAAATATTTTATAAAAGTTTATCCAAACAGGGCCTAATTTTTTCAAATTTTTTAGGACTGAATTCGGGTTCGGCTACGGGCAACGGCAATTGGCAGATGACAAATCGATAACAGGGGCAAAGAGGTCATTTTAGGGAAGCGTGTAGATATTGAAACTTTCCAATCCCATCGGCGTGAAGGAGAGCAGTAAAGAACCTGATCCTCTTTCTATCTATAGTCTATAGACGAAACTGTTGGACAGACAGATACTATTATTATCAATCTCCCATTCTCCCGCTAAGCCGGCCCTCTGTTCCGATCAGTGCCAAAGCCAAAGCTCTCTGTATTTGCAATGACCACAGCGGCTTCAGCCCCTTCGAGAGCTGAAGTTCTCTCTCTCTTCCGTTCTTTATTACGAGTTGCTCGACAATTCTCCGATTACAATATCAGAGAGTACACTAAGCGGAGAACGATCGACTCCTTCCGTCAGAATCGCGACCTAGCGGATCCTTCGACAATTTCGTCGGCCTTTTCTGATGGGAAATCTCAACTCGAAGTAGCGAGAAGACAGGCGGTCGTTTATTCATTATACGCGCCGAGAGTTAAGAGCGTCATGGAGATCGAGCATCGATGAAGAACTTTTTTGGTACTTGTAGCAGTTGATAGTTGATACCAATTTGAAGAACTTATTCTCTAGGTTCGTTTATCTCAACGGTATTTGATGTGATCCATTTTAAGGAAAACGCTGTTTTTTTTTTTTCCATTAATTTTGGGTTTCGGAATATGTAGTGTAGTCCTGTAGGACTATCGTACTGGTCTATAAAACTTTGCTGATTTTTGGGGTTTTACCCACTAGCTCGAATGTTTTTTTTTTGTTGATACTCATTGAGGAGAGAATCTAAACCTAATTTATTTCTTTGTTTGTTGTTGTCATTACTATTAATTGATTTCCGTTCAGTACTATGTGAATTTCAGTGTTAAGATTACTGGCGTGCATACAAATTTCTTATGGATTTCGAGTGTCTTGGATGAAATGAAATGGTTTGGTAGTTTGCGGCAATTTGAGTGTGCTTGCTAGGTCAAATAAAATAGGGAATTGGTTATCACATTGTACGATTTTCTTTAATCTGTGGTTGGGCGCATGTTTTACTGATTTAATTGGTCATGCACGTTGATATGATGGACATTCATGTTCATTTATTTATTTGTTTGTTTTTTTATTTTATGAGTTTATAAGCTTCAGTGATAAAATACATGTGGCCTCATAATTAATGGGGGATATGACCCCTGATAGAGTGGAACAGGATTTCTGTAGCAACGCCATATACTTTGGGACGAGGTTCTGTCTGGTTCAGTTTATTAAAAAAATAGTGTAAGATTACTTCGTTTGATTATGGTTCTCTCAGCAAAGTTGGTCATTCTTATTATAGAGGTTTTGAGATGTATTTATTGCCTAGGTTCACGCTGTTATTTATCAACAATTTTAAGTTTAAAGGCAGAGATTTTTTTTAGTCTAACATTAGTACTCCTAAAGCACCATAACTTTTCCCTACATGTTAGTGCTGAAGCTGGTTAACCCTAATTTGCTAATCCTTGATCTAAGAAGTGTGGACATTTTTTTGAAAGAAAAAGAGTGTGGAAATTGGACCAACCCTGGGGTCAGTCTTAGGGGTTCAAGTTCAACAACTTGGATTGGGCTATGGTTGACTTCAACCCGGACTAACTTGCACCCCTACTCAAAAGTAGTGGTGGGTTGGCTAACAGGAAGCAGTGTAAAATTGTGGCTGTGTAGATATGCAATGAAGAAAATTAGAAGCTTGAGATGTGAAATGAAAATCAAATTTTCCCAAGAGCAGCTAACTGTTTGATGGCAGGGGTCAATAATTCCACCCCCCCAAGAAACAGTTGTTAGTACAAGTAGTGTGAATAGTTAGGTGGCTGATGCCAGCTCACATTGGGAGATGCCTGACATGTAATTTAATTTTGTAATTCTTTTGTCATAATCAATAAAGTTTACTTTTACCAATCAAGAAATGTAAACCCTGTTTTTGTTTTTTTAGTTGATAGTTTTATACAGACATTTAATTTTGTTTTTAGTCATATATTGGAGAAAAGGGGTAATGGGTGATAACAACAAAATAAATCTTAGTGTTCTTTTCCTGCTAGTGAGAGAGTAATTCTTTAAATTTTAATAATAAACTGTTAGTCACTTGTCTTGGAATTTTGAGTGCCAAAAAAATGGTTAGGTAATTTCATTTGGTTGATCTCTCTCTCTCTCTCTCTCTCTCTCTCTAACACACGCACACACATACACACGCATGCACACATACACACGTTCCCACATAAATACCATATATGTGATAAGCTATGAAGAATGGGAATGGGTCTTCCTCTCATCATGGTTCAAAGTATCGATACACCCCAATATGCTGGAAGGGGTATATTGACACTTTGAACCATGGTCATGTTTTTTTCTTTTAGTTTTTTTTTTCTTCCAAAATTCCACAGAAAGCCTTGTTTTTATGTATATTTGAAAGAAGGTAAAGTATATTTGTATTTCTAAGTAAGGAGAGGGATAAGATCCCTATACTGACCTACTGTACAGCTCAGAGTGTATCACAAAAAGCTTTAAAAAAGTATACTAAGTACAGAGGGAAAAGAGATAAGCTGCTATGGTGAAACAAAACACTTGAAGTCATGAAGTCTATTCTAATCAATTAGGGTCACTGGATCAAGCAGAGCTTTAATTGCATTGTTTCTTCAAGCCTTGAAAAAAGGTCATTTGGAGATTAGCCTATGTCATTAGAAAGATTGGGGACCTGACCTCTATGATTGATATATGCCTTTCTTGCATTTTGAGTTCGATGAATTCTAGAGTTCACTCAGTAAAAGTGTCAATATTCTATGAGAAAGTTCTGTGTTGTGAGGTTGACGATCCTTTGGCTTAAAAAGAAAGTTTTTGCTTATGTGTTTTATGGAATGTTTTTTTAGTAATTTTAGAATTTGTAACTGCAATTTCTAGAATTCATGGCATGTCTGGTATATTTGATTATTAGAAGTATAACAGTTAGGAGGAGCTTTTGCTTGTTGTAATGGTAAAAAATAGAAGTGTAACAGGGTTACATCAATTATTATTGTACATGTATATTCATTGGCATTCCCCACCTTTCAACTATTTTTTTTTTCTCTGTAACTATCATTACCATTTTATGACGGAGATCTGTAGAAAAATGAATCCAAACTCTAGCAATACTAGAAACAACTTCTTGCAACTTAGCTTTTCACAGGTATAGAAGGTAATTGCATATTTTCATGTGTTATTTGGAATTTTCTTGGTCCGTGCATGAGGAGGGGAGTTGGGGGAGCCAGGGGTAAGGTACTGTTGAATGTAGAATTCAGGGAATCTCAGGGAACATTGATATCCTCGTGGAGTTAAAGCATTTCTGGATGAGAATGTTATTGTAAAGGGAGATGTTGATGGCCTGTGGAGCCATAGGCACAAAATAAGGGAGTGATGGTGAAAGGGGATTTGAAAACAATTGTAATCTGGTTGAAGGGAGATATGGATGGCCCTTGGAGCCCTAGGCACAAAATGAGGGAAAAAGATCATTATGTCTGAGGTACAATCAGAAATTTGTTGGGTTCCGAGGTCACCTAACTCACTGCTGGTTTCCTTGCCTGAGAAGGGGTAGATAGTGAGAATTTAAGGTGGGGAGAATACCCCCTGGGGTAAGCTGCAAGTGGTCTGGGGAGGGGCTCTTGATGGAGCATGTCGGTTTGTTCTCATTGTTGTGCTCAGTTTGTTTGCAGTGCAAACTTCATTTGCACTGGTGTAAATGCACGGGAGTACAAACAGATTGAGTGTAAATTCTAATTTACTTTTACTCTAGATTTCACTTTGTTTTATTTGTTTATGAGAATTAGAATAGGAAGTAAAACGAAAGGGTCCCTACTTTATATGAAAAAGAATGGAGATAAAAGGGTTATTTGTTTAGAGTGACTGTGAGGTAGGAAGTAAGATGATATGGTCACCACTTTATATGAGAGAGAATTGAGACAGGAGGAAGGTGGTATAAATTTTGCATCAGTTTTTGAAATGCAAAATTTGACTGCTAATGGGTGCATATGAGACGAAAAGTACAAATTTCGTATCAATTAGGAGTACAAATCATAGTTACAAAGAGATGTTAAAATGAACCGAATGCAAAATTTGTATTTGAACAAACAGAGCCTTATGTTACATCATCCCTTCTACAGTTCTACTCCCTCAAGGGTCTGCTTAGGAGGGCTGAACTTTGGTTCAACTGCTTTGAAGAAGCTACTAGAGTCTTGTAAGGACTATGGAGAGCCATCTAAATGGCTGTATGATGAACAAATTTGGCTCCTCATATTTTTAACCAAAATTTGACTTTCTAGGTGGGCCCAACCTTGCAATTCCAAAATCCACAACGTGAAAGACATCCCAAATGGGCACTATATACTACCTTTTTTCTTGAAAAAAATAAAAAAGTGTCATTCTTATGATGAATCAGTGAAGGATGTGTTTTTTCCATGGTGATTTCAAGGATGATATTGAAAAAGTGTGTCATTCTTTAATGGAGAGATGTATCATTGATGGTTGAAAAGTTGGAAAGCAGCTAGGAAATCTTTGTGCATGATACCGTTGTTGTGAACTCAAACGTGTTCAGTTTCAACAAAACCATAGAAAATGGATTTAGCTATTTTGTTGAATAAGATCTACAATGAATGCATCTGGATACGCCACTTTGTATCTATGTTTCAAAGGGGTCACTTTGTTTTTGATGCTAAAGTAAGGCAAAAGCCGCAAAGCAGATATTACTCTCTGTCAAAGTCAAACACTGAGTACTGTATATTTTGCAACACTATATAAGATTTGAGTAATTGAAAAACTCATCCGAAAGAAAAAAAAAAAAGGAATAAGACTTAGAATTTGACTATATATTAAAATTAATGTTCCTGTCTGTTGGCTTTCAGGGTCAGTTTATTCCACTTCAACATATATATATTTTTTTGATCAATAACTTCAACATATTCATCATTCATGTAGTTCTTATGCAGTTTTCCTTTTTGTTGGGTTTGTCGTTTTGTTTCTCTAGTCTCTACCAAATTTCTAATTTCAATTCGGAATTTCGGATGGCTTGCTTGCTGTGTTGCCCAAAGTTATATCGCTTGCTATACCTGGTAGGCATCTAGAGAGTGTGGGTAGCAGGTCCGGTCTCAAGATGATCTTATGAACACAATTACCCATATAGCAATTAGCAAGTCGATGATCTTATGAACACAGTCATCCAGGATGGTCAGAATCCACAACTCGAAGGAGAATGCTCTGCTCCACATGTAAGTAGGAAGAAGGTTTCTCAGTTTTGATGCTGTGAACCCACTCTTCAAGACTCAGAATCCTGTACCTGGTTAGGACTCTGGCCAACTGAAATGGGCTTCAGTGCTCACACCGTTCGCAGTCTTTACAGCTTTGCATTAAGAATATCTCCCCACGAAAAGGGGATATTCCCAATGCACGGCTGTGAAAGGCTGTGCGAACAGTGTGAACACCGAAGCCCATCTCTGGGCCTCTGGCTAACTACTCCGACGTATACTTGGGGAGTAGATTACTTAGCTCATCTTGGTATATCAGGAATTGGTTCTTTTATATCATTACAAAGAGTAGTATTATTTTACGACTAACACTTGAACTACCCCGTCATGTACTTTGTAAGTTTGTAGGATGTAGTCTGTAGCTGTAGGTACTCACTCACTCTTAAAATCGCTACTATTGAGAGAAGAATAACAGTGTGCAAATGAAGTGGGACCATCAACTTAAACCAACCCGATTTTGTTTCTATGGTTTCTTCTTCTTCTTCTTGTGGGGGGAATGGTTGACCTTGGGAGTGGTTGGTTTGAAGCCTATCTGCATCCGTATTCATATTTGCATATTCCAACAG